AATACATATAGAACTGCATATTTAAGTCCTATTTACATGTAATTTGTGTGTGTGTGTTTGCACTTTAATGTGGAGCTGGGATGAATGGGCACATGCAAATATAATGAGGACTGGCAACAGACTGCTCCATCCATCCATACTCTGACCACATTTCCCTATTTATTTTCCTACTCTGAATGAAATGATGACCAATCTACAGCCATTTTCTCCCATTATCTGCCCTTTGCTTTCTATGAAATTCAGACTGTTGAATGTTCTTTTCTTTTAAAAAAGATATTTGAAAACGCCTATTAATAACCAACATTGAATTATGCTATGAATAGTTATTATACAAAGGTTGTTATCCATTTTGTATCTGCCACAGATAAAAACCTGCATCTATGAATTAATGTAAGCCATTTATAGTTTATGAATCCAAAATCCTCCAGGATGTCCCCAAGTGCTGGAGTTTGCTTATGAATCTTTGAGCTAGCTGAAGGAAATGTAAAATCAAATGTAGACAGACAGCTCCCTATTGAATACATCTCCACAGAGACCCAGGAACACTTGTACTTCTAGCAAGGGTGTGGAATAAATTACACTTGAAAGAATAATATTCTTCAGATACACCTATTTTGGTTGGCAGTAGGCCTCGTGAGCTCTTCGGGGAGCTGCCATGACAACCACAGCAGACAGGTGGGTCCGGACGTGCACATTCTTTGCAGAATGGCAGAAGACCAACAAATCAATATTTAATTGTGGAAGCTGCTTCAGACCCTCACATGCATAATTCAGTTCCACATTGGGGTACAGATTGGCCAGAATCAAGCCCTGCACTCAAGCTACAGGGAGCAGCAGCTGATCTAAACCTCCCCAAGGTCCTGCTCCTTGATATGCCCCAAATTAGCATCTCATTCAAGTAGGCCCCATTTGGTGAGTTTTTCTTTTATGGTTCATTTGCATGCGAGCACCTTTGTCGCTTCTTCCTTTAGGTCTGTCTTAGTAGATAACCGGGCCCCTCTTCAATATTTGAGGCATCCGTGATCCACGGAGAGACCAGCCAGATGATGTCAGTATCAACTTCAGGCATGCTTAGCACTTAGGTCTATCTGGATATTTGGGGGGATTGTTGATAAACGAAGACATCTCCCCCCCCCTCCAAAAAAGTATTTTCCCCCCTAAGCAAAGTCTACATCTTAAATCAATGATGGCAAGATTGATCATACCAATTAATGAGTTCAGCTTTCTCTTGCTTTCTTATTATTGAAAAAAGAAGTAATGGCATATTTGCTATATGGGCACTCGACTCAAACTGAATAAATTGTTCATACCCCATGTGAAAAATTCTGGGTGAAGTTGAGCAACCCACTATATTTAAGATCCAAATGATGTACTAGTAGGCAAAGTGGAAAATGCTAAGGCCCAAATGTTACTTATGACTATCTAAACCAAGGGTGGGGAATCCCAAGCTCTCCAGATATTGTTGCCAGCATGGGCAGGGGTTGGGGGTGATGGGAGTTGTAGTCCAATAATATTGGGGGGGCATAGGTTACCCATCCCTGTTTTATGGCGAGATTGGTCTGTGCTTGAACAGAATGTGTGATGTGATCACATTAATATTTCTTTGCCCCTTCCAAGTAGTTGCCAATGTATTTCTACCAAGCAACTCATCTACAACATGTTGACATGCAGGGAGGATACAGGATGACATAACTTGTGTGTCCAGGGCCTGCTGCCTGAACTGAAGGGCAAAATGGCACCCGCACCCCCAATTCCACATACAAAAACTGCTTTAATATTTCTGGGGAAAGGGGATCCTCCAGGCTACTTAGAGACTGCAATGAAGGCCATGTGGTGCACACAGTTCAGCCCTCCAACACCTTGCTTGCTGCTCCGCACCCCCAGAATCTAAGCTGCCTAAGGGCCAGCCCCCCAACTGAGGTTTCGGCCTATGGTGAGGCAGGTAATGGTTGCAATTTAGAAACTCAGAGCCATAGCAGGAGGAGGCAAGCCTAGGCATGCTTATTAGGAAAGTAAGTCAGAGGGATTTCTTATGAGAAAACATGTTTAGGAGTGTGGAGCTGCCAATGGGCTAAGAATGGGGGGGAAAAAAGCATATTAAAATGCTATATAATTGGCAGATGGTTATACATATAAAACATTGCAGCCTTGAAATATGTAGATACAGAAAATGTCAGATGAAATTCAGTACAATTTTCAATAGGTTTTGTTTACTTGGAGTTACAGAGTTACTTTGCTGTAAATACCGGAAATACATGTGTGGTATGGAAAAGGTGTGTGTGTCTGATTTACACACACACACACACACACACACACACACACACACTTCTTTACTTAATGCAAAGGTTTCATCTCACAGTAAAATTCACTTGGGTATATATATATTCCAGAAAACACACTGCCCTGTATATGAACATTTTTTCTTCTTTGGGAAAAAAATTCTTTCTGACATACAGTTAAATATAAGTGATATGATAGCACGCAACATGAACATAACAAGGTATGAGCAGAAGGGATTTGCTTTTGACTACTTAAGAAATAGGCTTACCAATTCACAAATTTATTATAAGATTAGCCCTTAATACCTGATAATCACCTTCGTCAAGGAAAATTTCATCTCTGTAGAAGGCAAATGAAATGTCGAGATGGGCCTTGAGCCTCGCTACACATGGGCTGCTAAGACATCCAATATTTCTCTTAGTGATTGAGAGAAAAAAAAGAAAGAAGTGTCATTTAAATAAGCAGGGTGCCATGTATAACTCAGCTTAACTTTATCCGGCACTGGAACCGGATAGGCGTGGCAAATGTCAAATGTCTGAAGATTATCATTGCTGAATTTACATAGACCAGGACAAACACTGAAGGACACCAATTTGCAAGAAAATCTAGTGATGTACTATTATTTTAAATCACTGTTTTTATACTGGGAGTGAGACTGCATTAGACACACCCAGAGATCTCTGTGCAAGTATCAGTCTAAATGTTTAGGATGTGTCTGTGTGTGTTTAAAGAACTTGTGCACATAGAATATTTATATAATTAAAATCCTAGAAACTGGGGAAATTAATCACATTTAAATACCACTGTATCCCCCCCCCCCATCAGTGAATTAAATTAGTTGCGACTAAATTAAGGTCCACTTATTCCAGTGAACAGGGATTAAGTGGATTGGGGCAACTGGCTTTGAAATTGGAATGCTCCTGTTTATTATCCAGAATGGGTTTTATAGCCAGACTACGTGGGTGGTTGAGTGGTAGTGTTAGCTACTGTACACACAAACAAAGTATATTCTGAAACATGGCCTTCGCTCACCTCTAAAATGAAGAGAGAAAAAGAGAAGTCTCAGAACTTTTCTCAGAAAAAAAACTGGCTCATGAGAAATTTCCACAGTAGTTATAACTCTATTGAGTTGCAGCTGCGTGAGAGTTGTTCATGGTACCACAATTGGTACCATGTTGGAAGGGAAAGTGCATAAGGACCTCTCACTCAGCTGGGAGAATTTCTGAAGGCCGTCTGAAATAATGCACACAGATTCCATTGAGCATGTGGACCAGCATAGGATTTAGGGCGGTACGGATGTTTTCCCTACACAGGGCGCTGAGTTGAGGGGGCACCCACCTCACTGAGAATAGTCAACATTGTGAAGATCCATTTGGGGGATTTGGCCTTGCTCAGGGTGCCATATTACCTAAGATTAGCAAAGTCTGCCCCTGTGTGGACATTCATATCCACCATATGCCCAGGAAAGCTTGTGCTTCAAGGGTCTAAAATATCAGAAATCCACTCTGCTACAACTCAGAGCAGGGCTTTCAGTGTGGCTCCTCCTGCCCTTTGGAACATCATCTCTGTTGATATAGGTCAGGCACCCACTATCTGGTCCTTCTGGAAACAACTGAAGACATTTTCATTTCAACAAGCTTTTCCACATTTGTACAAAAGGCCTCTGTATTGTTTTATACTGATATTTAAGTTTTTGTTGTTGTTGTTGTTCCGTTCTGTTTTTAAAGCTTTTAAAAATGTGAATCACCTTGAGACTCATGTGGAAGGCGATCTATATATTAAATAAATAAATAAATAAATAAGCACCATATTAGTATTACTTATTATTCTTAGCAGGAACCAGTAGGAATAAATTGGAAACAAGCATTGGAGTCCATCAAATTACAAACGAGCTGTCCATCTATCAAAGCAAATATGGGGCTAGGACCAAGTTGATGGTTCAAATATCTGTCAGGTAGAATCTACCTAGAGCTGTGATAACAACCAAAAAATTAAATATGGTTTTGTATAGGTTTTGATTTGCAGGGAAACCAGACATAGCATAAAACAATAATTCCATAAAGTTTTGTGAAAAACTAATAGGACCACTTAATGTAAATCCTATTTATTTAATTAATAACTGAGTGTGATTTTCTGATTTGGTTTTAAAAAGGACTCTTTGTTTAATTTTTTTAATAAAAAAAGATGCTGTGTTCTTTGAGTTCTTAACACTGAAAAATATCTCTGTGGTTTGAAATGTATCTTGTTTGGCCTGGGTACCTGTAGGAGGAAAGAATAAAGTAATATGAAAATGCCAGCTCAGCAAAGTGTAGGACTCTTAGATGCATAAAAGGCACAGGAGATGAAACAAAAGTGCTTTGGATGTGCAAAGAGAGGGGAGGGGATAGACTAAATTTGCAATAAAAGGAATTATCTGAGTTCTGATAACATCAGTCCTCTATTTTTAGGTGAATTGGGGAGTGGGAAGAGATTTTCCTCCAGGTTTCTCTTTTCATCAATATTAAAAACCAGATGTTAGATAAAACATGTGTTATTCCATGTGTAGCCCAGTCCCATGCATGTTCAGTCAAGCAGTAAGCATACACACAAGTGGACTGCTTGTTAGAGGACAAGTATGGAGCTGCTATTCCCTCTGTTGGTGACGTAGTTTAAAAAATAATAGGAGAACAGAGAAGGGGAGATGTTTAATTAGCCAGTGCCTTTTTTCTTCTTTTCTTTTTGGTACCAATTTCTGTCAGAAGCGGAGCTTTAGGTGGTTCACAAGGGGCTTGTATGTCAGCTGTATGCCTAGGAATGAAACAACAAGATTTGCCTTTTTGGGGTGCAGGTGGGTGGGATGGATCTCATGTCTTTAATATATGTGCCCATGCCCTATTGAGGTTACTAGAACCTCCATTGTAGGACATTGACATTTTCTGGGAAATTACACTCGATGGCCTAGAGTGCGTGTCCTGATTCTGCTGTCCTGGATGGGAACCTCAAGTTGTATGGGCAACTTCAAGTTTCTTTATCTTTAAGCCAGACTTGGACTGGACAACCCTTCAAATAGGGGTCACCTTGAAACAGTGAATTGTCCCAGGTAACCCTTCACATAGAGCTCTGTAAAGTAGAATACAAGGCCACCCAGCTCCACATATTCCAGTGATAAACCCTGTCATTTTGAACAGGTTTCAGAGCAGTGCTGAAAGAAAGTACTGGCTTGAATTCAGCATTAGCAGTCCCCATGAAGATTGCGAGTCTGCTCCTTCCCCTGAGCTGTGCATCAGCATTTTTGGGGTGTGTGGAAGCATTTCAGCGAGTCTCTTAAATCCAGGAGTGGGCAAAATTAAGATTTTTGTTTCTGTTAACCCACCTAACTTTGTAAGTGTGAAACTCCTCTGAAACTTTGTAAGTTTCCTAGCAGAAGCCCTTGTGTAAAAGCTTTATCCCAGAACAAGAGTCCAGTTACCAAACTAGTGTCGCTTTCCCTCAGAACTTTCTGACTAAAGGTTCAGCATCTCAGCCTCTCTTTGGCCTAAGACAGTCAGGTCCTGATCCTGCAGAGCCCCTATGTGAAAGCAGGTGGCCGTGCATTGGGATTTCTGTGCACACAACCACACTCAACATGCAGTTGTGGGAAGGAGTTGTGGGGGTGGGTTCTAAGCGCACCTCCACTCTGCAGCAAGCATGGCTGTACATTGATAGGACTATTTCCCACAAATAATACCTTCCCTCTTATCGCTGTCCCAAGCCCTACCAAATGGTGTTTCTACAGGTTAGCTGATGATAGGGCTGAGAGACAGGGTCATGTGACACCTCAGTAGATCAGCTACCTCATGGTTGCATTACAGCAGACATGGCCAAACTTGGCCCCCCAGCTGTTTTGGGACTACAATTCCCATCATCTCTGACCACTGGTCCTGTTAGCTAGGGATGATGGGAGTTGTAGTCCCAAAACAGCTGGAGGGCCAAGTTTGGCCATGCCTGCATTACAGTAACTGTGTCAAGGGTTACATGTAAGGAAGGAAGCTCTTCTATGATTTTGGTGATAATACCCTCTTAGGTGGGGAACTGCCTTTTAGAACAAAGGATTGATTTGCCCGAGAAAGTTCCAGGAAGTTACAAAATGTCTTTATGTAGTTTGTTGGATCTGTGATTTCCAACATTGCAGAAAACAAATACCAGGAGAATGGCTGATTTTATACAAGAGTTTATTGAAAGGGGGAGAAAGGGAATAAAATCCACCCACCATCTCCCTTGCTGAGGTTTATAATCAAGACTTCCACTGCCAAGTTCTGTGTTTAGGTAAAGCATGAGAAAAAGCTGTTTTGTTTTTCAAAAGTTAACAAAATAGGTCCTATCACAGGGGCAGTAAGAAACTGACAGATTTCTTTGCTTGGGAGACAGCTGTTCCTTCTCAGGTACTATTATTAATATGCCCTAAGGCAATGTTTGCTCTGAAATATCTCTAATTGAAATAATTTACCCTGATCCTCAGAGATTTAGGAAACTGTTTTCATCATGTTCGCACACAGCCAAATAATTATGAGATGCCATATGGAAAAGACATCATGTGGTCTATGAATTTCTCTGAATGTATACTTTTGAAATAGTTCCCACCGATAAGTTACCAAGCTAAATTACAAAGAGGAGATGGATAACAGTAGTTCCTCGTTAGGTGGTTTTGGTTTAAAGCAGCCTCAGTCTCTGTAGGTTCGCAGTTGACTTTACATGGAATAGCTGCACAAGGCCTAGGACACAGCTCATAAAATAGTGGTGGAATTATCGGGCTGGAGTGCAAAAGGAACAAGGTGTCAAAATTATTGTGTTTTAATTAGAAGCATGGAGAAACAAATGCGAAGTTGTCTAAAAGGTCAAGTAGGCGCAGCAAGAGTTAATTTTGCATTTGTTTCTATGTGTGCATACATCTGATTATCACTGAAACAACTCCGGGAATCGTGACTGCACACAAAAGATAATGTGAATTAGTGGACATTTGCCAGTTGTGTCTCTTGTAGCAAACCCTCCTTCCTTCAAAATAGGTGTTGGGATTGAGGTGGTTTTCAGGGGGGAAACAGTAGGAAGGGGCAGGGTGAAGTATCATCTTTCCGTGCACTGCTTCATCACAGTACATGCCTCCTCACATTGCTTGGCTATGCAGCAATGTCAACACAGCTTCCCATACTTATGTTTGCTGCTAAACACTTAGGCCCCATCCACACTATATTTTTTTAAAGCAGTGTTATACCATTTTATGCAGCATGGCTTCACTATGACCCCAGCCCTTAAGTAGACAAAGCTTATCCAACCCAGCTCAATTTCATAATTTAGTTGCCCTGGATACCTGCCTTGTCACAAAGCAGTCATTTCTAGCACTGAATTCAGCCTCACCCTCTTCCAATATTTCCATCTGCTGAAGCATTCCCACCCTTCATCTCCAGAACTCAGGATAGGCTGCAATATTTAAAACAGCATCCATAGAAGAGCAGATTAAAACAGGTAGCATAAAAACCTAACACCAAAATGACACTTGTGGGTTAATACCCCATGAAGGCCCTGGCAGGCAGGCAGGCTAGTGCAGGGCAAGTCATGTGACGCACATAGTTCCATCTTGTAGCACAGGGCTGGGGATCCCTTGGCTCTCCAGCTCCCATTATTCATCACCATTGTTCATGCTGGCGGCGGCTGCTGGGAGCTGGGATCTGACAACATCCCAAGGGTCAAACTTTCCCCTAGACCTGCTCTAACATCTTGCCATTGCTCTCTGCTCACCCACTCGGAAAATCTGTCACCTGAGGTAGCTCTCTAACTCCGTATAATGGTAAAAGCCCATCTCTCTACTTTTTATGCTTCTTGTAGAATGCAAAGTGTGGCTCAGGTTTGACCAAACTGCAGGAGGCAGTGAAAGACACAAGTGCCTGGCCTTCTCTGGTCCATTGGGTCACGAAGAGTCAGACACGACTAAACGACTAAACAACACAGAATGCAAAGTAGTGCATGGGAAGATCTAGCTCCTAGAGTTGCGCTGGGGCATGACTCTGGCTTTTCTATTTCTTAGCCTTGGGGTTTTTTAAAAAAGAAAGAAAGAAAAGCACACACATTTAGTTGTACTGCAACACAACCAATAATGTCACCCCTGTTGTTTCTGTTATACCACACACATTTCTACTTCGTCATCTTAAAATATCCCATTAAAGTGTACTGGACTGCCACACACTTCATCGTCTGACAATTAAACAAAGGTAACATTTTCAGAGAGTTATGAAGTGTTAATATATCTCTACACACTCAAACACACACACACACACACAAGCTTGGAATACATATTTATGGTACCCTTGTGCTTTCTGGTTCGGTTAATGTAACACGGGAAAGGTAAAGCATCTCAAATTGCACAGTATTCCTTCTTTTAAAAAAAAACACAAAACAAAAACAAAACTTGGGTCCTTTGGTGTGTATCTTGATTAAAGCACAGTGAGAAGGTCATTGCCCAAACTTCATCTTCCACACAGTTTCCCACAGCATGTATTCCTCACAGGGAACATTTTCTCAGCTCAGGTTATTTCCAGAAATGTTCTCAAACCAAAAGAACAGTCCTTGCAGTAAAACATTTCATTCCCACTTTTTATCCTTTATCTCACAGTCCTCTGTTGACAGCACTTATGTTTCTTCGATTGACTGGGCCAAGAACAACAGAATTAATGATGTTGTCTCTTTGTGAGTGCATTATGTTTTCTCTTCTCCCCTCCTTCTTCTGACCTTTCAAACATGGGAATCTTTTATTTGTAATTTTTCTTTAAAAGGGAGGGGAAGAGGACCTTCTCTGTTTACATTGTTGCTGACACTTTCAAAGGTATCTTGAAGCTGTGTACATGCAATAGGTGACCATATAACTGTTGGGAGAACTTTCCCATGCATTTTCTATTTGTGCATGCTCCCACACTTGAAAACCCCAGACAGATGTGCACTGCAGTCCTTACTTTCTCAGAAGTAATTTTCAGTGGTTTCAACAGGACATATTCCTGCAGGGCTCTATTTTGTCCCCAGTGCTGTTGACAATGACCATTAGAAATCTTGGGGAACGTGGCATCAGCATGCTGATAATACCCTGCTCCATTTCTCCACTACGTCTAATTCAGATGAGACTGGAAGATCAAGACTCTGAACCCTGGGAAGACAGAGGATTTCTGAGTGGTTTTTAGATCTGGGATACAGGCCAGTTGCCTGCCCTGGATGGGGTTGCACTGAATCTGAAGGAGCAGTTATGTAGTTTGGTGGCACTCCTTGAGACTCAGGTAGCCTCTCTGGCTATGAGTGCCTTTGACGTGCTTTGGCTCTTATGCCAGCTACGGGCATTCCTGGATAGGATTAACCTCAGCACTGTAGTTCATGCATTGGTAACCTCAAGACTGGGTTATTGTTGCATGCTGTATGTGGAGCTGCCCTTGGGTCTGGTAGCTTCAGCTAGAGCAGAATGCTATGGTTAGACTGGTGACTACCACCCACACATGATACCAGAGTTAACTGACATCTGCTGCTGGACCAAGTTCAAGGTTCTCACACTAGTGTACAAAGTCCTGAATAACTTAGGCCCAGATTGCATTAACGGCTGCCCTACCTTATACACCCAAAGCTAATCACTGAGATCATTAGGGCAGGATAGAGGCTTACTACTGGTTCCCTATGGGCCAGAAGCAAGACTCGTGTCAAATAAGGAGTTGCATGTTCAGTGTTGTGGATCTCTCTTTCTCAGGAAGTTAGACAGGCACCATTCCTACTGCATTTCAGATGTCTGCTCAAAACTTTTTTTAAAAAAAGAAAGATTTTTTTAGGAGGCCTGTGGACCCCAATTGCATCTCAGATGTTTTTCTTTTTCTCTTTAGATCTTCAGTTTCTGAAGTTTTAAAGTTTGAGAGGTTTAATTTATGCGTTAAACTTTGCGTATTGCATTTTTATAAGCCACCTTGAGACCTAGATGGTGAAAATCAGATTTTCTAATCATGATCAGGAGGAGGAGATCGCTCAGGACTAGCACTGCATTCAGAGTGCACAAAAACCTTTTTGAGGCAAAAAGGAGGCTTTGAAAAGGTATAAGAAATCACCTGAGATCTTTTGGGTTGCCCGCCCTCCCCCCATGTCTGTTTTCAGCCCCTTATGTTATTGCTTCAGTTTTAGGACTTCTTTCTTCATCACTAAGTGATCCTAGCCAATCGGGCTGTGTTCAGGTGTTCAAAGGATTAAAGTGGGGATGGAGCAGAGGCACGCATGCAAGACACCCCGACTTTGCCCACAGTGCGCCTGGCTGCTCTTCAGATCTTCACGGAATTATTGCAAAAGGTCTGAAGAGCCTGTTTAAGCGCATTCAATTAAACACACTTAGAAACCTCTCTGCAAGTGGGAACCCTGGCTTATCAGGATTTGAGGAGAGTTTCAAAGTACATTCAAAGGCACACAAAAATGCTCTTCAGCCTTTAATTAACCGTTAATTGCATGAAGATCTGAAGAGCAATTTGCACACCAGGGGATATTGTGGGGTGGGTCCTCACGCACACCTCTGTCCCGTCCCCAGTTGTGTGTCAGCTATAGCGAATGTGATGATGCCACAGTAGCATAAAGGTAATCACATCTGGCTACCTAATGCCATTTTCTATCAGCCCTTGTTTAAATGAGGAAACACACCCACATTACTGAGGTAGTTGATATTTTGACTAAGTGGCCTCCTTACCAATCTGGATCCTATATTGGCTTTCCTAGATTGCTATTTCATTTCCTCACCGGACATTACATGAATAACATTAGACCCAGGTGTGGCAACCTACTGCAATAAAGATGGGAATGTGGTAGCATGGCTAAGATTGGGGTGGTTTTAAAAGTTAGACTCTCCCAGTCAGAACATTTAGGAGGTCTGTTATTATCTGTATGTGGTAGCATTTCTTAAAACCAGCATTGCTGGTATTGCAGTTAGGGGAAAGGAGAACCTGTGAACACTTATTCCTCACCCAGAGGATTAAAGTAAGGATGAGGCATTTTTGGAACAAAACGAGAACTTTATTTATACTCAATGAGAGTTATATCTTAATGGTTACTCTGTTAAGGCACAACGGTTCATTTCAGATGAACTTTAAAGAGGTGGTTAAGACATTTCTTAAAATTCTAACTTCAGATTCCCCCTAGAATGGCTATGATTTTTACACTGCCAGGAAAGGTCAAAGGTAAAGGTAAAGGAGGTAAAACACTCCCAGGCAGTTGTAGGATCTTTACCTTCCCCCTCAGGGAAACAATTTGGGTTGCCCCTATTTCAGCCCTAATCAGGCTCTAAACACAACCCTATCTAGGTGCTTCCAAGCCTTAACCTGATAGCCAAGCCCAAGCTGATCTTGAATGGACAGTCAAGCCCTGTCAGTTAAACTGCCAGACTCTAACTTTCAACACTCCAGTCTCTCCTGATTGGATGACACTCCAGCCAGCCATGATTGGCTTTTGGGTCAATAGGAGGCTGACCCAGGATCCAACCATCAAACCAGGGAAAGCTGGATTTAATTGATAGTAAACCTGAGGGTGCAACCTATTTTACCACCGAAATTTGTAAGCCGCTGACATTGTGGGTAGGGGGACTGAAGAGCAGAATTAAATACTATGTCTTGAATTTGGAAAATGAACTGAGATTTCTATAAGTATAAGAGAACATATGATTATGTGGATTGTGGTGGTGGGCAGTTCTCAGCTGACTTCTGATTTGTTTTGTTGCTGCTGCTTACTTACTGGGATGGGGGAGAAGTGAGGTGGCAGCAAAGTTTGCCTCATGCTGACTTTGCCATAAACCTGTCCCTTCCCCTTTATTTCCCAGTAGGCAGCAGCAGTGCAACCAATGGGAGGTCAGGTGATCACTGTGGCTTCGTCATGCTACTGTTTAGTCTTGCAAATCACAGAAATTTGAAGATGATAAGCCCCGATTTCCTGTAATATTTTTTAAATCTTAAATGCAGCATCCAAATTACAGATACTTCATGGCTATAAATACCTGTGTCAGTTTGATACTCATATCACAGCTGAAAGTTAAGTCTCCAGTACCAGCAATTAAAGGAGGAATTGTTCGGATTTGTAATTTCTTCTTGTTTGAAGTTTCTTTGCCCTTTACATTCAAACATTTTATTCCAAAAATTCAGTGAGCTCTTAGTAGCACATTGATTTTGTATCTAGATTCAGGCCTTTTTAATTCATGAAATCTGATAGTTGCGTTAATCTGGAAGTCTAAAACTGGGACTCACAGTAACAGATATAAACCTCAATGTGAATAGGTGACTCATCTATTATTATAATATAAACACAGTGAAGCTTTTATATTACTCTAGGACTAGGGCAAGGGTTTAATTTTTCCTGTTTGTGATGAAATTTCTCATTGCGGACAAAGAAATGTTGCAATTGCAGAATGGAGTATCTGGTCACATTTCAATCTGGCTTCAGGCCCGGTTTTGGCACTGAGCCTTGGCCACCTTTATGAATGACCTTTCTTGGGACAGAGACAGTGGGAGTGTGACCCTGTTGATTCTTCTTAATGTGCCAGTGGCTTTTGATACGGTCAACCGTGGGATCCTCTTGGACCACTTCAGTGGTTTGAGAGTTGAAAGCATAGTGATACTGTTCTTGTATGCAGTGCTATTGGGGATTTCTGCTCAGCCTCATAGCTATGGGATCTTGCAAGGTTCCATCTTGTCCACTATTCTTTTAAACATCTATTTCAAGCCACAGGGAGAGTAGCTGTTTTCTTGTGATGTGGTATGCAGAATAATTCAGTAAATTATTTTCTGTTCTACAGCGTCCTGCCCATATACAGTAGTACCTCGGGTTAAGAACTTAATTCATTCTGGAGGTCCGTTCTTAACCTGAAACTGTTCTTAACCTGAGGTACCACTTTAGCTAATGGGGCCTCCTGCTGCTGCTGCACCACCACTGCACAATTTCTGTTCTCATCCTGAAGCATCTGTAACCTGAGGTACCACTGTACACCTCTAAGTATATGATTTCCCATGTCAGTTGTTGACTGGCACTCTTGGCCAATGATTTTGAAGTTCTGAATCACTGTGTTTCAAAGTTTCAAGACCATCAGACTGTCTGTAACCTGAAGTACCACTGTACTCATACAGAATATGTAGGCCCATATCCTGCCCTACAGCTGTGGAATGTCCTTCCCTCTGAGGTAGGTGTCTTCAGCACCAGTTGAAGACACACTTCTTTCCTCTGGCCTTTTCAGTGGATTGATGTAACTGAGTCCAGCCACAAATTAATTAATTGTTTCTCTGCTCTGTTAACTACAACTGTGTTGTTTTAATCGTAGTCTATTATTAAATGTGCTGTATTGTTTTATGGTAGCTTTATTTTAGATTGTAACCTGCTCTGGATGATTAATTTGGTGAACAGCAGGCTAGAATCCAAAATAACAAACAACAAACAAACAAAAACAAACAGGCAAACCTCCATGTAGCATTTTCTCCTTTCCCCTCTTTAGTGTTTGATTATTTAGCTTTGATTCTAGATAACTATAAGTTGCTCAAAAAGGGCTTTCTTCTTCTTTTTCTTCTTCTTCTTCTTCTTCTTCTTCTTCTTCTTCTTCTTCTTCTTCTTCTTCTTCTTCTTTGGATTTATATACCACCCTATACCTGCAGGTCTCAGGGCAGTTCACAGGATAAAACCAGAATATAAAACCACAAAATACATAATCAAAATAAAAAAACAACAACCCAATAACCCCCGCCCCAACACATTTTAAAAGAGCATAGACAAAGTAAGGAAAAGTCAGAATCACAAAAATAACAGAATAAAACTTATGATTGTGTTATGACTTCTCTGATCCAGTTTTTTCCTGGTTGATACGTATTTCCTCGATCTATTTAAATATTCCCCCAGTTTTGGGGTGCAAGTAGCCTTAGTCATTTGGTGTGGGTGGGTGACCAACCCACACTGGGAACAGGGTGGGTAGGAGGAGAACATTCTTGCTGATTCTGCTGAAACTCTCAGCAGCTTTCGGTACCACCAACTATGGCATCATTTGGAACTAGCTTCCAGGATAGGACTTGGTAATGTGGTGTTATGGGTGGACTTGGTAATGTGAGGACTTGGTAATGTGAGGGGTGGATTCCAAGAGGTGATGCTGAGAGGCACTTGTTTATGACACTTGTCTACTGGGTTCCCATAGGAGTCCAGATTGTTTCCATTGTGTTCAATTTGTTCTCCATTGTCTATGTATGTACACCCACATCTTTGTAGACTCTGGGTACCTCATCCTTTCCAGGGTCCTGAATCATATGTAAGGGAAACACATGTTCAAATGGAATACTTGAAGGTGTGAAGGTCAAAAAGGCCAGTGGGTACAAGCCTGATCAGTTAACCCACATGCTTATTTATAACCAAACGGAAAGCTTTAATACGCTCACACATACACTTGGACATGCAGTGTTTCTTCAATTGTTCTTTGGATCACTACCAAAGTCACTCAAGCTGATATATATTTATATTGCACTGTTTTGACCTGCAAAGCATCAGTTGGATTTAAGGTTTTTGTAAGAGACGAGGCAAAACTGATATGTAAATTTTCATTGAACTCTGGAGATATAAATGTGGAGGAATGCAAATCTGAACTGTCTTGCTGAACTCTGCAGCAGTTGAAGTGGGAGACATAACACCAGGTGTTTAAATCTAGCCAAAACTAGATAGATGCTTCAGAAACTGGCATTTCACTGAATGCACCCTGACTCCTATTTTGCCAGATTTAAGAGGATGTAATTCAAACTTTTGTTTTCATTGCCAGTTGAGTCATTGAGCTAGATAAGCATTAATCTGTCCCGATAAGGCTATTGATATGTGGAGCAAAGCCATATACAGTATGTGTAAATCTCGGAGCGTTAGTCTTGTCAAATCCCAGCTGAATTCTTTGATTCTCTAATGAGCGATTCCTTGAATTTTGATCTGCATATACCATACTGAAATGGTTAATATTTTCTTTTCTAAACAAATATGGTTCGGCAAGGGGGAAAAAAAGATGTGATGTTTAAAGAACTTTTATGTGGGTGTCACTCTTACGAAGTCTTCTAGGTCACATGTTTGCTTTTTTAAACATTTGGTAAAAGAAATAAGTGTCATGGGAATGGACCCAGTCCATCTGGAATTAGCAGATTCCTCCCTGTTCAATTATCCCTGCATTATGAACCAGCTCACTTGCACAAGTATTTTTATTTTCTTTATGCATAAATATTGGAAAGGCATCAGGCAGAGAATGGAAGGGAGGTAAGCTTGTTTCCGATTCCAGCACAAGGGAGGAGACATGCCAGCTGCCTTGTTTGCTCTTTGTCATGATAGTTAATGCAATTCCTGTCTTAGAATGGCCTGATATTTCTGCTCACTTTCTTTGTTCCACTTAATGTTAGGGAAACTTATTTTCAAACTTTCTACCTCCTGGGAATCCATATTGACTTTTCCACTGAGACTTCCCTATAAGTTGCAGAGAATTCTGGGAAGCTCTCATATACTGTACATAGTTCATTAAGAGTGCTGATGAGTTCTACTGATTATCCCTGTAGTGGTGAGGTAGCTGAGAGAGCACTCTACAATACCCACCCGCATTCTCTACAGTAGTCTGTAGCACCCCTAGGGTTAGGTTCAAATGGTTTGACTGAACTATTTTGGCCCCAAATGGCTGCTGAAAAGGAATGGGCATTCCTTGTTTGGTGTGTTATCTGAACTGAGGCACTGTTTGTTGTTGTTTAGTCGTTTAGTCGTGTCCGACTCTTTGTGACTCCATGGACCAGAGCACGCCGGCGCTCCGATCTTCCACTGCCTCCCGCAGTTTGGTCAGACTCATGTTTGTAGCTTCAAGAACGCTGTCTAACCATCTTGTCCTCTGTCGTCCCCTTCTTCTTGTGCCCTCAATCTTTCCCAACATCAGGGTCTTTTCCAGGGAGTCTTCTCTTCTCATGAGGTGGCCAAAGTATTGGAGCCTCAGCTTCACGATCTGTCCTTCCAGTGAGCACTCAGGGCTGATTTCCTTAAGAATGGATACGTTTGATCTTCTTGCAGTCCATGGGACTCTCAAGAGTCTCCTCCAGCACCACAGTTCAAAAGCATCAATTCTTCGGCGATCAGCCTTCTTTATGATCCAGCTCTCACTTCCATACATCACTACTGGGAAAACCATGGCTTTTACTATACGGACCTTTGTTGGCAAGGTGATGTCTCTGCTTTTTAAGATGTTGTCTAGGTTTGCCATCGCCTTTCTCCCAAGGAGCAGGCGTCTTTTAATTTCGTGACTGCTGTCACCATCTGCAGTGATCATGGAGCCCAAGAAAGTAAAATCTCTCACTGCCTCCATTTCTTCCCCTTCTATTTGCCAGGAGGTGATGGGCCC